TATAAGCTACCAAGACTCATCTGTAAATTGTAGGTGACAGCTATTACCTTCATAGGGCTATTGTGGGCTAAAATGAGAGAGGTATACAACATGACCAATGCAGTGACTTAAACAGGGTAAATATTTATGTTCAATTAATTAAAGTTTCAATTAAATAAATTTGTATCTTTCCTTTCTTTCTTTTCTTCCTTCCTTCCTTCCTACCTACCTCTTTTTTATTTTTATGAGAAGTAGCATGTTATACTAGAGAAAGAACAAAATTTAGATCTGTCTTTAGATTTAGAACTCCTTATAAAGCTGTGTGACACTGGTTACATTTCTCATCTTCTCTGACCAGCAGTTTGTTCATTTCCAAAAGGCAGATACTTATACCTAATGCACAGAGTTGTTACAAAGAGCAAATACCATAATGTGGATGAAGCACTTACAACGCTTGGTACATAGGCCCTGTATTGTTATTATTATTGTTGTTGTTGTTGTTGTTGTTATTTTAAGGCCTAGGCACCATCCCCAGCAGTATAAGCCCTCTGAATGCTCTCAGTTCAGCTACCCATGTGTTTATACAGTTGTATGCTATAGGTCAGGTCTTCTCACATGGGCAAAAGTGTTCAGTGTCATCTAAAAATTGATTGTAACACTTCTCTTGCTCACACACACACATATATAAACATAAACACCATCTTCATTTAATAAATTGTGGAGAATATTCCAAAAGAAACCGGGCAGACATCAATTTTCTCTGTGGGAAGACCACTCAGCTTTCAAAGTCTCTAAATAACACAGGTCTTAGAATCACTAAGCCAAGAGATTGCTAACCAGGAACAAAACTAAAAATAACTCTGCTTTCATTTTTGAAATTATCTGCCTTTTAATGTTATAACAAAGGTCAGTTTTGCCAGTTCCTATAGAATTTCAAGAAGAGATTTCGTAAAAATTAACAGAACTTTCTGGAGCCATGACAAAACATTTCTAAATAAAAGGAACAACATTCCAGAGCTCTTCCTTGAGGATACTCAAACTTCTCTTGAACCACTTAATTATTTGCCATTCTAAGAAATCCTCTAAGGTTCTGCAACACAAAGCGTCCAGGGTATCCGGTGCATGTAGTAGTGGCATCAGAAGCACCTATGCCCAAGGCTTTCATTAGCCTGAATGGTGCCTTTACACAAATTTAAAAATGGTGGCTCCCCTCTGGACAGATGAATTAGAAAATACAATCTTTCAGGTGTACAAAGCCCAGCAGGAAAGAAGTTGGCCGGGTTTCCGCCCCACGTCATCCTCTCCACAGGGTGCGCCACGTGACCCTACCCCTGCCTCCCTTTTTCTTCCCATCTCCCACAGTTTAAGAAACTGGAGCCAAGTCCATTTCACACAAGGTCAGAGCCTTAGCCTGGGGAGTGGGTAAGTGGATAATGACAGACTCTCTGGGTGAAGTCACCTCCTAAACTTGGCATAATATAGAGATTTCATTGAGCACAGTCCAGTCTAGGCAGTGGCTGCCTGGCCTGTGTTGAAAAAGATTGGAGACCAAATCCAGCCCTAGTAGGGAGCAGTGGGTATATTAGCAGCATAAACCATTGGTTTCCAACAGCACATATGCTTCAGATTTCCTATCCTAGTCCAAACTGTTGAAATCACAAGCATTTGTGGAGCAATTAATATGAACAAGGCACTGTGAGATGCTTTAGGGCAATCCTTAATCACATATTGGAATCTTCAGGGGACTTTAAAAAAAATAAATAAAAAACAAAAACAGATCCTTGTAATTTTTCTGTAAATCCAAAGCTATTTTAAAATTCAGAATTTATCAAAAAAAATTTTTGCTATGGCTATTTGGGATTTTTTTCTGTGTTGTGCGATTTTTTTTAAATTTTTGTTCTTTGAATATGAATCTCTTGATTTAACTAAGCCCTCAAGGACATAAGGGATTAACTGCTGTCATATTCAAAATGATGCATTTTTCAGGGCAAATCTTAATTTTCTTTGTCTTCTTTAGATGAAAGAGCAGCAAAAATGCCTAAAAGACTTAAACTAGTATCAGTTTAGAGCACCCTTACTGAAACTTGATACGTTGGGCCAGAGGCAGGTCTTTACTATAGCTGATAATACAAGTAGATCTTCTCACATTCTGTTTCCAGGCATCACTACCAGATTCCCTGCCACCACAAGCATGCTTTTCCCCTCCCAATACACCTCCAGTCTTTGCCCCACTCACTGGGACTCACAGAAACAGAGACCAGAATGGTGGTCGCAGGGGCTGGGGAGCAGAGGAAATGGGGAGAGGTTATCAAAGGGTACAAACTTCCAGTTACAAGATTAATGATTAACGGGCGCCTGGGTGGCTCAGTTGGTTAAGCGACTGCCTTCGGCTCAGGTCATGATCCCGGAGTCCCGGGATCGAGTCCCACATCAGGCTCCCTGCTCAGCGAGGAGCCTGCTTCTCCCTCTGACCCTCCCCCATCTCATGTACTCTCTCTCTCTCATTCTCGCTCTCTCAAATAAATAAATAAATCTAAAAAAAAAAAGATTAATGATTAACAAGTTCTGAACATCCAATGCATGGCCCAATGATTATAGTTAATAATACTGTATTATATACTTGAAAGTTGCAGAGAGAGTACATCTTAAATGTCCTCATCACAAAAAAGAAATGGTAATCATGTGACATGACAGAGGTATTAGCTAAAGCTATGCTGGTAATCATTTTGCAATATATACACGTATCAAATCTCACGTTGTATACCTTAAACGTATGCAATGTTAAATGTCGATTATTATTTCAATAAAGCCGGGGGAGGGAGTAAAAGGATTCATTAATTTAAATAAGTAATAATTTTTAAATATAATATTTATTTTATAAAAAATACAGATTTTTTTTGGTTCCTCTGTCAGAACTCCTGAATGAGAGGTTCCCCATATGTCCATTCATTGGTCAGTTAGAGATCACAGAAACCCCTGTTTTGGAAACTACTGAGATAACTAAGCCCCTTGCTATTCTTATCCATTCCTCTGATAATTAAAACCCTCTTCATGCCAAACTGCAGGATGCAACACACTCATGCGGCGTCAATCTTATGTCTTATAACAAGGATATATTTCTAATAAAATAGAGAAGTTTAAGGTACATGGCACATAGGTTAATTATTGCTTTGTGAATCTTTTTCTGATATATATGTATATCCTTATATATTTACATAGTTATATGTATATCTGTGTACTGCATCACAGTTAAAACATGTATTTTTTTTAAGATTTTATTTTTAAGTAACCTCTACACCCAATGTGGGGTTTGAACTTACAACCAGAGATCAAGAATCGCATGCTCCACTGACTGAGCCAGCCAGGTGTGCCCCAAACAAGTATTTTTTATATTTTGAAACAAAATTCAAAAACACATGAACTTAGGTGGTCTAAATTAAATGCTTCTTGCTGCAGTTTTAGCAGTTTCCCCTCTCTATTGTTCCCTAGTGGAAATTGAGAAAAAGGTTTCCTATCAACCACAAACTCTCCAGTATAAATTAGAAATCGGTCCCCTCTCTGCCTTACTTTCTCTCACTTAGAAAGATGGAATTTCTTCACCTTTTCTTTATGGACAAATGCCATTATTCTCTGTTCAACTTCCTCCCAATTGAATATATTAGATTTTAGATTTCAGGTCCAAACTGGTGGTGTTTTTATACTGTGAATAGTGTTCAGTGGTTCTTTCTTTACAGAGAAAAAAGCAAGAGGAAATGGGTTTGCATAGCAGTCAGAGGGACTTCAGCCAGATAGAATGAAAAATTTCCTGGTGGTCAAGATAGTACAAAGTACAATGAGTCAATGAAATGGGGGGGAGGGGGCGATGTGAAATCTCCTACTCTGTAAGTTTGTGGAAACAACCCAGATCCTTATCTGTCTGGAATTCTTTAGAAGTGAATCTGTCTGACAGGCAGGGAGTGGACTTCCAGGTCTCTAATGCCATTGCCTCCTTGCATCATTAAGACATTCTGAAGAAACATAAACTACATATTCACAACTCCAATCACATAAACCAGCAATTTATGGGTGGCTCGGTCGTTAAGTGTCTGCCTTCGGCTCAGGTCGTGATCCCAGAGTCATGGGATCGAGCCCCGCATCGGGCTCCCTGCTCAGCCAGGAGCCTGCTTCTCCCTCTCCCACCCCCCTGCTTGTGTTCCCTCTCTAGCTGTCTCTCTCTCTGTGTCAAGTAAATGAAAAAAAAAAAAAAATCTTAAAAAAAAAAAAACCAGCAACAATCTTGCAAAGTTTCTCAACTGGAGCACAAAGGACATTGGCGGGGGGCAATTCATCGTTGAGCAGGTTGACTGGTGCATCTCAAGATGGTTTAACATCACCACAACCCACTTAGCACCTCTAGGTATAATGATTTCATCACAAGAATGAGGGAAAATAATGTGTTCCTCACAGAGCTATGAGAATAAATGAAATATAGGAACAGCACCCACACAGGACCTGACAAGTACAAGAACTCATTAACTTCTCTGCCCCTCCCTTTCAAATGTTAAGATCTGAAGAGAAACAATTTTTTAAGAGCCCAAGCATGAAAGACACATCTCTGAGAGGTTATGCTATAGCCAGTAATTTCTGAAACCGTAAGTCTTTATTTATAGGGAGCATGAAACAATTCCTCACCCTCACCAGTTGTCGTGGTTTGGTTTGGTTTGGTTTGGTTTGGTTAGAAAACATTAGAAAAATTCTTTCTCCTTCACTGTTCCCAAAAATCTTCTTATTCTTCCTTATAATATTAGGACAGTGTTAAAGATGTTCCTATTCCCCTGAGAAGTTAAAAAAATAAAAAGGGGGGAATATAACCAAAAAAATTAATATACATCACTGAATCACAGTATAAATGGTTCATTCTAGTACATTTTGTAAAGAAATATTTAGATAGTTTAATTAGCATCTCCTCTTAATCTTGTCAGAAAATATTGACCAAAGAGGTCTTTCCAATAAAGACAATATTTTTGTTGTGTCTGTTTCAGAAATGTGGTGCTGGATTCTTTCTCGCCCAGTCAGGAGAATGTATGCCTTGTGGCTGCAACGGTAACTCTGATGAGTGCTTGGACGGCTCTGGATTCTGTATGGTAGGTCGGGGCACCTGTCACTTTTCATATACTTCACTGGGCTTCTGCATCTTCAGCGGGAACCAAATACTCTTCCTGCATGTCTGAGCTCCCTAGGAAAGAGCTAATCAAGCTCTCTTTTTACCCTCACCTTTTCCTGTAAGACACGTCATAGAAACTACTGGTGATTATAAGTGGCCATCAAGGCGTAAGTATGACGGTGCATGTGCTCCTAGAGGGAACTGACCTAGCAGCCTCGGCAGCTGGTGTCTACCACAGGGCCAAGGGTGAAGGGATTGAAAACTGGACACAGAGGAGGAAATCATCCATCCAAATTCCTCTGTAATAGTATAGTTTGCCCCATGTGTTTGGCTTCAATCTACATAAACCAGAAGAATAAAACAGTTGTTTCATAGCTTATTTTACAACTTAAGATAGGTCTATAGATCAAGATTTGTTTTTTAAAAAAAAGGTTTGAACCAAATAGCTAATAAAACTGAAAACTTTGGCCTTGTGGTCTTTGTAATTCTGTGTTTCAGCCCCCAGAAGACTTTTTTCCCCTTAACTGGAACGAATTCCCCAACTAACTGTTCTTCTGTTGAAGTATCATAGAGACTTGTGGAGGACACTGGGGAGCCTTCTAGCAAAAAGGGCTTGCCATACCTTTTCTGTGTTCACTGAATGGACTGACAGCTTCGTGAAAATGGCTATTGAAATATTTACCAGAAATGGCTTTAGTAGAAGTCCTAGGAGGCATTTCTAAAGACTTATGTCCTATGATCATGTTTTCCTTCAGGAGCTATACCACACGGCAAGAAAATTAGATTCTTCAAGATCCTATGAGGCAGAAGAGGCTTTCCAAAACTGCAAGAGTATTTTTGCATAAACTACAAGAATTCTTAATTAAATACACCCTATTTACCTCAAAATTAGTATAATTATCCCTATTAAGCAGATCATTTTGATTGTAAGTGGTCTCCAAGGTGTGCGCACGGAGGTGCTATTTTACCCATTGTAGATGCATTACATTAAGATGCAAATTAGAACATTTCATCTACTTTGAACCCAGCAGTTGCCACTTTTCTAGAGACAGAGAGAATGTAGTGGCAAACACTAGACATGTCCATCTCTTTGTAGTGTTTGTTTAGTCCTGGTGTTTCTCTCTTCCCCCTCCCCCCATCTTCTTAAATAACCGTTACATCCAGGATGTCCTCTGTAGCCGTGTAGGCACACGCAGCTGCCGAAGCCTGCCCCTTTCTAATGCTTCCATCTCCGGTTTCCTGTTATTTTAATCCCAGTGACATTTGAAAAGAAAATCCCATGGATGCACTTGAACTAATAATGTACATCTCTGATAATTTGACCAATTAAAGACTCTTTGTTATCTGGTTTTTTGAAATAGAAGACAATAGGGACTGGCAGACCCATCAGCTGCCATCAGGAAGCCAGTAAGATGGAAGACTGAACTAGAAGGGCAAAAAGTCCCTCCTGGGGCACGTGTGGTGATGAGCACAGGGTGTTATACACAACTAATGAATCACTGAACACTACATCAAAAACTAATGATGTACTATATGTTGGTTAACTGAACATAATAAAAAAATTAAATTAAATTAAATTTTTAAAAAGTCCTTCCTGCAAGTGCCTGTGAAGAGCTATGACAAAGCCACTCTTCTTACATAGGAACTGTTGTGGTTTTATCTATGACCTAGACATGAGTTCTGAGAGGACAGTCCTCACGTGATTCCTTCACAGCTCCTGGGCATACGCAGTTCTAATAAAAGTTTGGGAATGGACTGGGGTGTAAACTCATGCCCACTCAAGGAAACTGCCCATCTTCCTGCAATTACTTTGTTTTAAGACAGAATATTTTAAAAAGAAAGAAAGAAATAGCCATCCTACTCATCCTAATGGTGAGCCCCCCACCCCAACTCTACACAGATGGAAATAGCTTTTTTCCCTGATTGAAGTAATATATGCTCAATATAAAAAACAAACAAAACAATAATACAGCTATGTACTGTACATGAAATTCAGAGTGAAAATCACCCACATTCTTATCTCCCAGAGCTAAATATATATATGTATATTCTTATACATTTAATTTAGAAAGACCAGAAAAGGATGTAACTTGTATTGAATTATATGTAAGTAGTGAACAGAGAGGCTTGCCAACATAGAAAGAATATTTTGTCACTTAGGTGGTAAATGTATTGCCAGTGGTATCCCACTGGAATCAAACTCAGATTTTCCTATTTCCTTTGGCATCCCCGCTTTGGCCTCCTGGTGGAGTGGGACCGATTATCAGTTCCTGCCCTGTAGCTCCTCCATCCAGCTCATCTGGTTCTCAGGGCACCAGAGAAGAAGCAGTTAGTCGGAGGAACACTTCCTTGCAGCCGACCGTGGGCCTGGGTTTCCATCAGTTCTTATCGTTTGCCTGATTAACTCATTTCTCCCATCTTCCACACACAGCCAAAATTAAAAGGCCTTTTATTTCATTTTAATTTTGTTTTTATTTTGAAGGCTTATAATGCCTCCCTCCACCTTGCCCTCCCCCAGGTGTTTCTAATTCTTCCTCCATTCCAATGTCCAATTTCAATTTGACCTTATATTTTACAGACTGATTTTAAGGAACTAAGCCATTTGACAATAAAATACAGAGTAGACAAAGTTAGGCTCCCATTTTAGACATAGCAAAGAAACTTAGAGTTGTCTTCACAAGAGGGGTACTAACTCTTCTAACGCAGAAAAGTGGCTAAGTGAAAAGTGGCTTCATGAATGAAATCTAACATGTGTGCGGTGTTTCCAAAAAGCTACCTTGCATCTTATCAGAACTAGAATGCACTGCAAAGCGTTCTCAGCTGAGTCAGCCAGACAGGGCCCCAAAGGCCAGGCAACTCCTGTGGACATGGCAGACTCTCTAGGAAAGCTCCAGAAGGAGGTATGAGAAAGGAATTAGGGGAAGAAACAGGTAAAAGCAGACAAATGGCTGGTGGTAGGAATGTTTGGTCCCTAATAACCCATATTTTATCCCAAGTGTATGGGCTAGGTACAGAGAATTAAGAAGAGGCCTTGACTAAGGGCAGTTCCCATCTAAAGAATCTTCTCATCATTAGGAGAAAGCCAGGAGCCCACCGACCAGAACTAGAGTAGAGAAAATCTGACTTGAAGTTTACCATAGAAACAGGGCTCCTCAGGTTCCTTTTGATTAAGGATTGGTTGGTCTATTGATTTCATCTAACCATTTAACAAATAAGCATTTTTTTTTTTTTTTTTTGAGCTCCACCTATGTGCCAGACACTATTCTAGGATTTGGGTTAAGTGGTTTCCACTGTGTTGGGTTGAAGGACTGTAGGAACAGAAACACCTACTTGAAAGTGCTTCTGGACATGACCAATATAGTAAAGGTCAAGGTATGAGGACCATGGGAGCCTCTACATGTGTTTCTCAGCACAGAGAAACACATGTAGAAATCCCTATCTGCTCAGTGACAACCAAATGAAAAATTAAAAAGATTTCAGCGTCTGTCCCAGCATTGCAGGAAAATTTTTTTTTCTAAATCTGAATAAGAATATTCAGATTTAAAACTATTAAAAGAACAGCAAAAATATCATTGAAATCTAAAGAGACGCCCATCAAGCTGTTATCTGGCTGGTGGAAACATGGATGGATTTTTATTTTCTTTTTACTTTACAGTATGCCTCCCTAAATTCTCTGCAACTGTCTGTAGTAATTTTGTAGTTAAAAAGATACTGATATTCAAATGGACTTCTACCCCACCCTAAGCATAATGGAGAAAGGGAAGTAATCCAATATATTGAAAGCTAATGAATTTTTTATTGCTCTCAAAGCCTAATTAAAACTTCATTCAGGAAAGCAAAGATATTACATCTCTAATTTCTGCAGACACTAGCATTTTTCTCATGCTTTTCAAACTCTCCTTTATTATGTGTGTAAGACAGAAATCAACCAATGTAAGTTCCTGTAAGACTAAATATGTGTGATTAATAAACCAGCACATTCATTAGACGTCCCAGAGCAAGAAAAAATTGAGTTATAGAGACTTCTTTTTCCTGTTTTACTTGCAACTATAAAGTTGGTATCTAGATCAAGTGCATAATTCTTACATCAAAATTTTGACAATTTTCCAATATAGTGCAACTTGGAAACCCCCAAATTTTGCAAACAGAGATGGATTTGGTTCCATGCTAACTGAAGTTTTGAAACAAAGTCAGAAAATTGTATATCCAAAGAATTTAGAGTCTTCTGTTGCTTTGTGCCCAGTCACATGAGAACATAATAGGAACTGAACGCAAATAAGTTCCCTCTACATTGCTCATGTTTCTTCTTCCAACCCTGAATGTGTTCCTCTTCTTATGTTCTCCATCTCAATTAATGACAGCATCATTCTGCCAAATACTAAGATGTCCCAGATGCTTCATCAACTTCCTTTTCCTCTTCTCCAACATTCAACCCCGGAGAAAGCCCCTTCTCTTCTCTGCCATCCCACTGCCTTAATTCACATCCACAACATCCCTCCCAGACCAGAGCCATGACTTCCCAATGACTCATCATGCCCTGCTCCAGACTCTCCTTCCCCTGATCTGTCTTCCTTACCAGCAATGGAGATATCTTTCAACCTGATCAAGGCATTCTCCTTTCTAAAATCTTCCAGGGCTTTCTATTCCTGCCCCACTGAGCCGCTCACTGCCACCAAAACTAACTCTGTACATGCAGAGTCTGTGTCTGAATTTGTGCTCCCCTGCTCTCTACCCGGGATTTCTTGCTGATCCTTCAAGGCCTAGTTCAAATGTCATCACCTCCATTAAGTCTTCAACTTTTTTAGGGAAGGCCAGAACCTTTGCCTCCTCTTCTTAGTAGGTGTATCCTTTATACGTACCTCAGTCATAGCACCTAGCACACTATATCATTGTTTGTTGGCCTCTCTGTCTCCTTCACAAGCCTGGGAGTTACTCAAAGGCATGAACCAGGCCTTTTTCATAAAATGACACATAAATGAATCTGGTCTTCTTCATTTTAATAACAGTCACAACTCATTGCCTGTCATGATACCAGCTGAATCCAGGCTTGTTAAATGAATGAAGGAATTAGTAAAATAAACTAACAAATGCAAAAACCTTTAATTTTATAATTTATGAGACTCTTGGGTCACTCTTCATTGCAGTAAAATGTACGGTCTCTTTATGCTAGACACTCAGGCTGAGGCCCAATGCTGAGGAACTAACAAACAGTGTTACTTATTCTAGGTGTTTCTATCTAGAGCTTGCTTCTCCAAGTATAGTCTAGACCGGCAGCACTGGTGATACTTGGGAGCTTGTTAGAAAGGCAGGTACTCAGGCCCCATCCCAGACATCCTGGATCAGAATCTGCATTTTCACAAGAACCCCAGGGCACTGGTGTGCACCATGAAGTTTAAGAAGCACTGATCTAGACAGAACAGAAGTTTTCAAACTTTTGGTCTCATGAGCCCTTTGCGCTCATAAGAATTATTCAAGTTGCCAAAGAGTGTTGTTTGTGGGGATTATCCATATTTACTGCATTTGAAATAAAACTGTAAATAGATCTTTAAGGGGAGGGGCGCACCTGGGTAGCACAGTTAGTGGAATGACCTACTCTTGGTTTCAGCTCAGGTCATGATCTCAGGGTCATGAGATCAAGCCTGGCATCGGGCTCCGTGCTCAGCACAGAGTCTGCTTGAGCTTCTCTCTTCTGCTCCCCCTGCCTCTCCCCACTACCCGCACCCACACCTCGCTCTCTCTATAATAAATAAATAAATCTTTTTTAAAAAGGGAATTTAAAACTGAAAGTTTCTCTAGTTTTTCTTATTTAATTTATTTGAAAATAGCAATAAACCCATTGCATATTAGCATAAGTAATATGCTTTTATAAAATATAAACATATTTTACAAATTAAAAATATTGTTCATGTTGGCTTAAGAGAAGACAGCTGGATCTCATATCTGTGGTGATATGTCCGTGTCATGTAGCCCCAGAAGTCCCAGCCTCTACCTTACACATATGAGAAAATGAGAGTCCAAAAGATAAATAAAATCTTAGTGTTATTAGGAGAATGGTTTTGACCTTCCTAGACATAGGAATCACAGATCTGGGTAGACTATAGTCTTGCATAATCATGTGACAAACTACATGAAGGCCAACTTGATCCTCTTAGGCTTTCTTCCTCCATTAAACTGGTTCTGTGGCCAAGTTATCCAGACAGCATTTCTCATGTGAAGAACCACAGCTGATGCCCAAATGCCATTCCTCACGCCTATCCACTTATCTGCCTCACTGTCTCCATGTAGCTTTCTTAACAACGGCCAAAGATTCAGAACGCTTTTTTCATTTTTAAGTGGGGTCAGTTTTATTAAAAAATAAGTTTTCCCCCCATCCTCAACGACACACTTATTTGTCATTGTCATTTTTCTTTTTAGTTTTTTAAATGTCAGAGCACTGAAGGTCAAGGCATATTTGCAATCCCAGAGTAAAAGTTTTCAGAGCTAGAAGAAAATTTACAGGCCAACTCAACTGGATTCTCATTTCTCAGATAGGGAATAGAGACCCAAAAAGTCAAGTGACTTGTTCAAAGTCCACCGGCTAGAAAATAGAAGCAGTAGGGCCCTTTGTCCCTGCCTCCAGTGTTAACTATCTCTGCCAATCTTCCAGAATGTACATCCGTGCCTTTTAGGGAATTCTCTAACAAACCCTTGAAAGGAAGGCAGATGAGGAAAGTCAGCATTCCCTCCCTGAGCATTTAGAGGTCCAGGAGATCTGGCGGCTTTGCCCTGGTGGGTAATTTTTCCCCGTGGTTGCCATGGCAGAATTAGAGCCCTGACAAGGAGTCCAAAGCACCCAACAAGCCATAAGGAGGCAGCTTCTTTTTGCAGCTTAATAGGCATTTCAGGCAGGAAGAATGATCTAACATCTTCCAACAAGCCTATTTTCTTCTGCACAGATGGGCATCGTCCATCCAACAAGGACTGAGACAAATTTGACCTCAGCCTATGAGCAGCCATACCAGGTTGCTTATGGCTTAGATTCCTGGTAATTGGGCAAGGCTTGTTAGTTTCCCCTGGAATGTGAGATTGCCACTGATTTTGAGCTGATTGGTGTCCCTGTTACCTTCCTCTATTAATTCCAGACATTAATTCACCCTTTCCCACTTTTTCTTTCCTTTTTTCCCCCCACAAATATTTTTTGAAGATTGACTTAGTTCTAGATACAGTGTTAAGAACTTGGGGACATACTTGTTAACAACCTGTCGCCTGTACATCATACTTTATTTTTCAGTTTCTCATTGATCTGTCAGGCACTCGGAACTGGCCTCTAAATTCTGTTCTGTTAACATAATTCTAATCAGGGGCCAGAGATTGTCCATACCTAATGGTTGACCAAATGCCCAAAGAGTGTTCAACCATGATAGCCTGTTGCCCACATCAGAACTCTGCCCTTTTGATTTGAAGTCCAAACTGTTGGTAAAATAGTATGACACCTTCTAATGTAGTCATTTTATGACTCTTTGGGGAAAGGAGCCTTTTGTCTAACACACTGGAGAAGTGGTATAATACAGGAATTAACAGCCTGGCTGCTGGAACCAGATTGCCTGAGTCTGAATCTCACTTTTGCCTCCTTCCATCTGTGTGACAATTTATTGGGCAATTTATTTAACCTCTCTGTGCCTCCATCTCTTCATATTTAAAATGGGGTAAAAAATAGTAACTTACCTTAGAATTATTATAAGAATTAAATTAGTTAACCCCTGTAAAATGTTTGAAGCCTTTATTCTGTTTTGTTATTCTACTTTGAACTTCACCATAGAACACAAGGACAAAAATCAAGAGCTCAGAGTTCACCTTGCTACTGCTCCATCTTGCCTTTCCTTAGGTGCTTCCGCAGAGCACTGTTTGAAAACAGTTGTGTCTGTTGAAGCTCTTGTGCATAGACGTTATTAAGGGAATGGATCAAACAAGAGGCTGCCTCTTGGATGACATTCTAATTCTAATGGCATAACTTTTCACTGAAAATCCTATTCAACTTTTATACACTCTGGTGAGCGTAAAGATGAAAATATTACAGTGCTAATGGCATTGCCTTGTGCAATCCAGTTCAGTCCTGTTGGAGAAAACTATCAGACTAGCATCACTTCCTCTTTAGAGTACTAGGCAGAAATTAATCCATGAACGTGTCACTGCTGAGTTGACTCCGTTCTACTCAGTACCTACTCTACTTGAGCTGGTACAGTACTGAGAGGCATAATGTAGCAGAAGGGCTGCTGAGGTTGGGAGCCAATGATAATAGTACCATGTGGGTAGTGGAGTGGGGGGAAGGATCAGGGAGGGGACATCAGAAGGAATTCCTGGAGGCTTCGAGGCCTACTAAAGATCTTGAAAGATGACCAGGCATTCTAAGCAGAAAAATCAGCCTGATGATGAATTATCCCCACTGCATGCAAACTCTAAACTCCTCAGACTGCCAGTGCACACCTGGAAGTTCAGGATGAAGCCATCCACCACTGTCCACACTTTCTAGGATTGACTGGGGCCAACATGGCTATTTTGTGCTGACCAGCTCTGACCACACAATCAATTCCATCAGCCTGACATCCCCTTTCCTTCGAGTACTGTTTGGTTCCCAGATACATTGCGTACAGCATTTCTTTTGTGTCTTTGTCAACTTTCCTATCTTTTGCCTCACAGCACTGCCAGCGCAACACGACAGGAGAGCACTGTGAGAAATGTCTAGATGGTTATATCGGAGATTCCATCAGAGGACCACCCCGGTTTTGCCAGCTGTGTCCCTGTCCCCTACCCCACGTGGCCAAGTAAGTTCTGAGAGAAGAGGTTCTCTTCTGCGGCTTATCCCCTTAATTATGTATTTTTCATTTTTACTCCATCCAGAGCTCTCAGGTTTTCCCTCATTAGTGGAAAGACTGAGTACCTCATATTGAGATGAGATGGGAAAAGATATAGGAAAGTTTCTTTAGCCTAAATACACTGTCAGGGAAACATAAGCATGACATAACATAAGTGGTATGGGTGATGACTGTGTTCCCAAAATATTAGGTAGCATCATAAGGCCAATGGAGTCTTCAAGGGTTTTATAAGCAAGGTTAGTTTCTTGGCTGTCCCTTGACCTAGAGAGATCACAACTGGTAATGCAAACAGACTCATAATCCAGGATGTTTCGTAGCAGTGTTTCCTCTTACTCTCACAGAGTAGAGGATTTCCTACATGTGGTGGCAAACTGTTCAATCAGAATTACAGATAAACAGAATGCATGCTTTAGGCCCATCAGCTCATAAAAGATTTCTAAGAAAACTAATTTTCGCTTCTGGCTATGTTTTGACCTGAGTGAGAAGTTAAAGAGAATAGACATACATCCTAATGGAAAGAGTGGAATTCTTTTCAGGCGCATAATATGTATAAATCCAATAGTCAAGTCATGACTGGCCATTTTATTATCTTAAAAATGACAGAACGTAGAATTAAAATGGTGTAGTGGTCATTGGTTTTCCAAATATCAACCATTTCTCTGATTCTCTGAAGCTAAGTGAGTGTCCTACAATCACTTCATTTCTGACATTAACTAACTACCCAGAGTTAGTTAGTCCATACATTAAGTCCCACTTCAGAAACCAGCCACAAATAGGATCCCTAGGCTACTCACATATCTGCTCAGCTAACTATAAATTCAGGGGTTGCCTTAGGTTCAGTAATTCTCTACAATGACTCACAGAACTCAGGAAAGTGCTATACTTACAATTATAGTTTTATTCTAAAGGATATAACTCAAGCCAAATTAAAGAGATGTATAGGGCAGGGTGTGGAGGGGGAGATGGGAGGGAGTAGAGTTTCTGTGCATTTCTGGGTTGTTCACCAACCCTAAAGCTCCACAAACCTCCTTTGTTGTTTAAGAACTTTATGTATGTTTCATTACACAGTCATGATTGATTAAATCATTGGTGATTGGAACTCAATCTCTATCCCCTCTTTCCTCCCTGAGGAAGGGGATGGGGTTCAAAGTTCCAACCCTGGAACCAAGTAGTTTCCACCTCTGACAGACCAGCCCCCATCCTGAAGCTACTTAGGGGCCCATCAAGAGTCACCTCATTAACATAAACTCAAATCTGCCTGAGAGGGGCTCATTCTGAATAACAAAAGACAGTCTTATCACTCAGGAAATTCCAAGAGCTTTAGGAGCTCTGTGCCAGGAACCAGGACAAAAACCAAATATATATTTTTTTCTTATACCACAAGTAGAAAGAGTAATGAATCTAGGTTCATATCCAGGGTTTGGCACAAAATAGCTGTGTGATCTCAGGCAAGATACTTTCTCTCCATGTCTCACTTTCCATGGGATTTGAGGTCGAGGAAACTAGATTCAGATCTTGGCTAATTTATTTATTCCTTTATCTACTCTGGATCTTGGGGTTTTTTTCCTGAGTTGTAAGGATCTGCCTCATAGGGTTGTACTAGGATATGTGTGTGGAGCATTTGAGTTGGTGCCTTACAGACAGAAAAGTGTATGCTAGTTACTGGCTTTATTGAACACATGCTTTGTATTTTTTCTAACACTAGTATTTTGCTTACTCTGTGTCAGGCAATGTTCTAAGTGTTTGGATGTAATATTTAGTTGATAGCTAACTTTTAAAAGGCCTGAATGTCACACACACACACACACACACACACACTTTCTTATAAAGAGAACAAAGATGACAACCAATTCTCCCCCTATTTTTTTCTTAATTGAACACCAATATCAACTAACATTTCACCTAAAAGCTTGTGATTTGTTCAGATCCTCTGATGAGTCTGTCAATGAAGAAGTCAAATGTTTTACAGCCCCCATTTTTCTTTAGAAACCACTAACCCGCTTCAGTCCTTACTTTGGATTTTTCATGTCCCATGGTATCAACAATGTGTGCAAAATGGATGGTATTGAGAGGGAGAGTAGGAACCTCAAACATTAAATTTTCTGTTATATTTGGGCGCCTGGGTGGCTCAGATGGTTAAACGTCTGCCTTCGGCTCAGGTCATGATCCCAGGGTCCTGGGATCGAGTCCCACATCGGGCTCCCTGCTCTTTGGGATCCTGCTTCTCCCTCTGCTTCTCTCTCTCTCTCTCTCTCTCTCCCTCTGTCTCTCATGAGTAAATAAATAAAATCTTTAAAAAATAAAAATAAAAAAAATAAATTTTCTGTTATATTCACGCAAGTGTGTCCTGATTTATGAACTCCCTTTGTCTCATCTAGGTATATTCTTTAATTGTTCATTAATATTCTGCTCTCAAACATTAGTCTTAACCACATCTGATGAGATGCTCAACATACCACTCTCTGGCCATGCTATAGTTATTTTGTTAAATATACCGACCGCCAACTTTCCAATAACAGGTTCCCCTCATTCTCCCATATAAACGAAGATGCTATATAGCATTATTTGCTCAAAGCAGGTTTATAAGCTCTGAGCTGCAGTTTCTTTGAAAACTAAAGATGAATTAGAAAAGCAATCCTCTAAATTGTATTGTCTGGCTTTTACACTTTTTGCCCCATTCATGTTGATGTGGTTAACAAAGGCAAAAGAAAAAATTAAATTTCCATACTACTTACAGCCCACTGACAAGTCCTTGAAACCAGAGTGACCTTCCTCTGAGAGCTCAGCTGCCTTGATGTTGACACTTTCCTAAAGGCAAACAAAATTCAGTCTTAGCTTAACATTATCCTGACCCCTCAGGATCCTGTGAGTCTACTTTAAACATATAGAAATTCCTTTCAAAACTTCCTTTGTCTCTACCCCCAAGATACATGTTGGCAATCATCCTCCAAGCATATGGCCCACTGATATACATCCGAAGGGTCTCATGACTGAGGGTTTACTAAACAGTAATAAATGACCTTTTCCTAACAATAGCTAGCCCCCTCAGGGTCCTGGAAACCTTGTTTCCAAAATTCCTTGGAGGCTTGTGCTGTCCCTAACCCCCTCCCAACTTGAAAGTATATAATCAGTCAACCATCACAACCCCAGTGCTGCTCTTTCTGCCCACGGGTCCTGTCCCCGTGCTTTAATAAAACTTACCTATTTGCACCAAAGATGTCTCAAGAATTCTTTCTTGACCGTTCACTCCAAACCCCAGCATTTCCACATCAATATGACAAGACTTTCTTACCTAAACTTTAACTTTACCTTCTTGAGATAAGAAACTTTTGGACTGAGAAGTTTTGTCTACATGCAATCAACAAATATTTATCAAGCACTTATTACGTGCCAGTCATATACTACTAGTCGCCAGTCACAACAATGAACAAAACAATCAAAATGCCCTGCCTTCATTAAAATAGGTCAAAATACAGCAGCATTTTGAAGCTCCTAAAGCAAATGACTGTTTCACCTTTTTAGCTAGGTTATCCAATATTTCAGTTGATCAAGAAACTCTTCTGAAGGATCTTTCAAATAGATAAATAAGGGAGAAATTGCCAATTGGGTGATGAGCTTCCTGTCTTGAAGGAGGAAACAGTTTCTATTGGATCACCATTTCTACTCATGCTCTTTGGGTGTGTCAGCAGATCTGGGCTCAAAGGGCAATTGAAGGTCTCAGGGAATGTGCTCTGCAGTTAGGTACATATTCACAGATATGGAAATTGAGGACTCTAACAGTACACATTTAAAGTTGAAAAGCCTGCTGAAAATTGACACAAAAGAAAAATACCCCCACATAGAAGTAAAGAACATTATGTGGGAGTGTGGAGGAACTAGGAGAGACCTGCTTTCCCTGAGGTGGCAACAGTCCTACTTCCTTAGTCCCTTGGGGGAAGAAACTGGCTACAGATAGGGAGGTTGGGATGGGGGTATGGGGGCAGGTGTAATCTGTGGTCACAGAACAGGTCAAATTTGCCTAGATCTTATAAGGTTCTAGCCTTTGATATGGCTTCATTACTGACTTAGTTAACTATTTTCAAATATCTTATCAAAAACCAAATACCCATTGCCTCTTTCAGCTTTTTAAAAATTCATATTGTTACTTTCTATAAAAATTAAAGTGCCAGGACTTTTATTTGAGCTCACAAAGTCACCTAATATGGCATCCAAATTATGCTTTGAGAGATCCTTTAGTTGAGCCTCCAGACCAGGATTTGGATTTCCAGTTACAGTAGCCACATCAGAAAGCAACAAAATTATCTTGAGGGAGGTAAGCAAGCAAACAGTGTTGAGTCTATTTTTCTTTAAGTTCCATAAAGGTTTCCAAGAACAAAAGGCTCCCTGCCACTTGGAGAGGGTGCCACGGTTGTTAATGTGGGCTGAGAAAGGTTCTGTGTTTTCATTTCCCTAGCCAAAAACAGACTTTACCCTAAGCAAAATATAAACAATTAATGCTGATAAAAAAACAAAAAAGGAATCTCAGTGGTTGGCACTGCCTCTGAGTCTCCCTCCACTGAGACCAATGGTCACACAGCTATTCCCAGGGACAATTTGCACAGAGTTCATTTATTTATTTTGGAGTTGGCCAGACATCCTCCCCATCTACTAGTAGTTATGGTAATCGCTCCAATTAAGGAAAATGTCATCTGTTTGAAGCAGCAGGACATTAGCTAAAGGCAGACGACTCCAGACACAGGCAGATGCTTCAGTCCTTCAAGCTGTGGGCAGGCTGCTGGGAGAAACATCTTCAAAGAAACATGCATGAGGGTTTGTCCACATTCTGGAGTCTTAACTGACAGTGTTTTTTTGAAGTAGGCTAAACAATAAGAACAAACAAAATGAAGAATAAAGGCCAAAGAAGTGTAATTTTACTGAAATGTTTTTAGCCAAACTGACAGAAAAAATAAATTGTGGCTATTGCCTTTCACAGCAAAGTATGTATTGTTTTCTGACTGATTTTATAAATGTCTTCAAACAAAGCAAACACATCCATTTGCTTCCCTCCAAAGACCATTAGGGTAAAATTGCTAATACATGCAGGAGTGAGAGAGCAGCAGGTCACACTCCACTGATGGCACAATACCTAAGCCAATTAATTTGTAAGTCTTTAAAATTTTTCACCCCCCCCGATATGGATGGATTTATGTGTCAATGTAGAATTTTCCAAACATGTGAAGATTTATATTCCATTTCCCCTGCCTTAATAGTTGAACAATATTTTTATTGCTTTTCTGTCCTGTGTCCATATTTTTATTATCTAAAAATATCCAACCAAACAAACAACAACAACAACAAAAACCACAGTAATCAAGAGAAGGGTTTCTATGGATAAGAATCCTTTTCCTATGGGTCCTATTTATTGCTTGTGTACTTGTTTTGTGACTTTGATCAAAAGAGTCAGTCCCTGCACCCTTTATTCCCAACCTTTAAGGTACCAACAAAGAAATTAGGGTTCAGTGGGGATTATAGAGTACAGTTTAGAGGTGGTGCATGACCTTGAAGAGTGGAAGAGATCTAGTGCAGAAAAAAAGGGAGCAACTTTCAAATGTATATACAGAAAACGGTGAGAATAAAGAAATTCTCATTTCATCAAAATCACAGGTAACATATAAAATAACTTGATTTTTTTATTTCTGGCTTTGAAGTATGTGTTTCAGATTTGTGTTAAATATTCTAGAAATTCCCACTGCTTCAAGTAAAAATAATTAAGTGCCGCTGTGGCAAAATAAGTAAGTGGATCTGGGAAATGGTCTCACCAGTGGATGAGCGTTTTGGCATTTTCTGTCTGGGCCTGCTAGTCTAAACTTTCCTGAAAGGAAGAAGATTTGATTTAAGTAAAGCAAATGATGACACCCGTTAGAACTTGACTGAGACCAAGGTAGAGATGACTAGTTAAGACAATCTTTTCAGTGATGTATGGAATTGACTTCTAATATTCTCTTATAATTCTAGTTTTGCAGAATCCTGCTATAGGAAAAACGGAGCCGTTCGGTGTATTTGTAAAGAAAATTATGCTGGACCTAACTGTGAAAGGTAGGCAAATATAATTCACTATTTTCTGTGTGAGTCGAAGGAAACTTTCTGTTTCTTGCACTCATCAGTTCTGCCATGTTCCCATTCCGTGGGTCTTAAGATGAGAACGTGGGGACTACATTTCAGAACCCTTTGGGGAGGCTTTCCTAAATCCCATGCCCCAGATAGAGCTGGGACAATATGCTCCCCATGGGTCCATATTAGGATAAATGGTCAGGTGAAGAGGAAAATGAATATGTATATTTTGAAAGATTCTCTAGATGGTTTTGGTAACACTCCTCTCTCTCTCCATCACTGGGAGCCAGCAATTAATAGAGAGTCTTCCTCAATAGAAAAAATAGGTGGGGCAGAATCCTCTATCAGTCAGTAAAGCAATACACTAACAAAGGCACGAACCTATTATTTAGTCCATTCTTCATACCATCTCCTCCCCTGAAAAGTAAACAAATTTCATGACAGTTTGGATTTTCTGAATCTCTATCTGTATTTTTACCTAACACCCTTTTCTAAAGTTGCTCTGGGCTTTGCTCAAATAAGAAAGACTTTGGCGACTAAAGATGTGAGCTTCCCACTGCATGATTTCCTGGCGAGACATTTCCCATCCTCCCCACCTGTCAGTTACTCAATTTTCTCAAATCAAATGGCTTTTGCTAAAAGAGTCTCACAGAAAGGTCTTCTTATTTTTAACAGAAATGGCATTAACATCAGCCTCTCCATGTGGTTGGGCAGCAAGATGATGTGGGTGCCATAAAGACAGGGAGGGAAGGACCAGGGGACTTCTCAAGCCTCTGGTCCAGCATCTACACATGGTCACCTCCCAGTGGCGTACTCCCACTGCCCCGAATGTGGGCATAAAAGCCTGGGACTCCAAATGTCAATCTTAAATGATATGCCATCTCACTTCCTCAGAAAACACCCTCTACCTCTCAAAGAGTCATTCTGGAACCCTTTTTAAAAAGCCACAGTGTCTATGGTGCAGAGAAAATCTCTATACTCGGAGGGCATTGCTATTATGATTATTAAATGTACAAATCGTAGATAATTCCTTTGCTGAAGATTTTTTTAAGGGATTTTTCTCTTTTTTTGCTATGAGGGAAGAGGGAAAGTGAAGGCCCATGGTGCATATGAATTTCATCCTTCGAGAGGGACAAATAGAGATTTGGTTAATTAATGTTTGTGACACACTCATTCCGTATTTTCTTATTCCGGGACCCAGTAATATGAGACCCCTGACTTACTCACTTTCTGGCTCCATGTGAATCATAGAGGACTGCCCATCAGCCAGGGATGGAACTTTTTCTCCTTAGTGTCTGAGGTGGAACTCCATTTAGTCTGACAGAGATTGGGCAGTATTATCAGCTAACGGGTGTTCGATGGCCCCTGGGATGGACTGCTGACCACATGCAACGCCTCCCAGAAGTGAAGTCATCTTTGTCCCTCTGGGCTCAGTCCTGCAAAGTTGCACCAGGACACAGATCCAGGTTCTGTCAGTGAGCGCAGGGGGCCCAGCACAGAACAGCATGCCTGCCTCAGATGTGGGATGGTAGATGATAAGCCTCCTGGTGCACATTGGAGGCTCCTGGCCCTGCCATTGCCCTGTAAGGCTTGGTCAGATCTGGGGGAAGAGCACTAGTTGTCAAATATTGAGGAAATGTCGCTTCAGCCTGGCCGAGGTTATATCTCAGCTCCAGCCCTTGGGGATCCTCCTGAGGGAGTTATTTGAGCTCTAAGTGCCTATTTCCACCTCTCCAGAATGGAGAAAATGAAAATGCTCACCTCCTCGGGCGGTCAGGAGGTGATACTGTGAGGTTTTTAGTATGGCACGCGGCACTTAATGCTCGATAAAAATTGCCTGGTGACAGTAGGAGTCACTGTGGCCATTGTCCAGTTCCCACCCCCTGGTATAATGTGTGCCTGGGAGAAGTTGGCTCGTTTCCCTGAATCACAGTTTCCTTAGCCAGAAATGATAGCTTTGAACTAGATAGTGCCCCTTGTTGCTTATCTCCTGTGTCCTCCCTGCTTTACATTCCTCATCTCTCAGCCTGATGATCGCCCTGAGAGCAGGTGTTATTTTGTCATATTGCAGATAAGGAAACTGAGGCTAAGGGAGGTGATGGGGCTGGTCCACAGTCACAACACTGCTAAGTCGGGGGGCCGGGGGGGTGGGGCAAGGGCCAGGATTCACACGTTTTGGCTGAAAAATCTGGATTCTTTCCCTGTGCCCATACTATTTTTCCTAAACGTCTTCCCAAAGGTCTTCTGTTTTAAACTTTGACAATTAATGAAGTAAATGAGTCTCTGAAATTCAGGAGAAGCACAGTGAACCTGCTCCTAGATTCCCTTTGACTGGAGGCTGCATCAATAGGTGTGCGGGAAATAAGCATCCTTCAAAGGCCTGTCATTAGCACTGGGGGAGGATCACTCTGAGCAACTTTCTCGGCTTCATCTCCTCTCTCCCGTCCACCCTTCCTCACACCCTGCTGTTTTAAAGGGAATGAACTGAGGCCTTTTACATCAAAAATTGACCTTACCATCCAGGGAACTCTTCCTCAAAATGGAAATCACAGGGATTCATACTGCACACAGGTTTGAGAAACATTGGTCTAAAGCATAAAATATGAACCTCCTACCGTACCATGTAAAAGAGCTCAAACACCCTTGTTTTTACAGCAGATTGGTGGAAGGGATAAGGATGTGATACATCTAAGACATGGTCTCTTGTCCTCAATGAAAGTCAAGGCTAGAGCAGGAGACAAACCCAAACACCATTAATCACAAGGGAAGAAAGAAAGCCTGGTAGAAGGACAAGCAAAGCCTCTTCAAGAGGGCAGTGCAAGGAGTGATTGCTTTCCCACAGAGAAGGCTGGGTCATTGGGAAGGGGGTAACCTTCACTGATTTTGTTTTGTGTTTGACCTTGGGACTGGCAGAGGTTTAGTTTTGTTTTGAGTTTAACAGCCAGGTTGTTAAACTGTCGCAGTTAAGCTTCATCGAATCTGTATTTTCAATGTATCTGTGACCTTGGACACAGATATTCGTGGAGGTTCATGAGTTCCCAGTGAATATTTTCTTAATTTTGTGTTTAATTTCAATGATAATCTTGAGGAAATAGTTACTTGAAACACGTCTGGACTTTATATAAGGACCACTTTATAATAAAGGGAGATCTGCCTCAGAGCAGAGGAGAAAGTAACAGCCAGCAGTGTGTCAGTGACACATTACAGACAATTGGAGGTCAAATGGCATGACATCAAAGCAAACTGAGTCATCACCTAGCACATGGCAGGACATGGATGCTGAGCTCACACAATCCTCTACCATGTCACGTTGCAAGTAGCCTTTCAGTTGCAACAAGAAAACATCATCCATTGTCTTGAATTGATACTATTACTTTGAATTCATTAGTTTCACAGTTTTGTTTGTGTTTTATTTGTAAAATTTATTTTGGTTTTCAAGATGTATAAAAGCCATAGGTATAAGGAGTTTCTACCTCCTTTTATGTTCGAACTATTTAAAGATTTAAAGATAATTTAGATGAACACTAGGAGAAGTAGTCTATGAGGCTGTTTTTCCTTTCACAGGGATCCATGCTGCACACAAGTTTGAGAAACATTGATCTAAAGCACAAAACGTTAACTTCTTACTGTACCATGTAAAACAGCGCAAACACCCTTGTTTTTACAATGAGGTCCATGTTTTTTAGCCTGCCCTGGCCCCTGGCTGGCTCTTTCCCAAAGTCCTTTTCCCCACCTCACACTTTAACTTCTGCGTGTGGGAGCTGCGGCCCCCCAAATCCACCAGATCAACTGTAGAGCTCACCACGTTGTGTTGTATTAAGATGATGACTGTGACAATGATGATAAAAATAGTAACATTGATTGAGGGAGTGCTTACTGTGTGCCACATAGCTGCTGTAAGCACTTCACATACAATGACACATTTAAACCTTAAAAAAAAAAATCCTATGAGATACCATTTTCATCCTTATTTATAGAGGAGGAAAGTGAGAGACAGACAGATTAAGCCACATGCTCACAATCACACATTTGGGGTTTTTTTTCTGTCTCTACTATTAAAGTAGGAATTCCTCAGCAGAAGTAGCATCTCATTCATTTCTCTGCTGTTCTTCCCCCATCACGGTATCTGAAACATGGTAGACACTCCATTATATTTGTTTAAGTAATACCTCTTTTTTTTTTTTAACGAAAAGACAATAACAGTACTGCTAATGTTCCTTTAAAAAGGTACCTGTAGTGATGAGAGTCAGTCATTGCTTGCCTTGTTTGATCCCCCACTCCACTCCTCCTCATGCCAGGAAAATGGAAGAGGGTGACACCGAATTGAGTGAGTCAAAACACTGCCCTCTGGCTGAATAGAGGTTGCAAATGGAAGTTATCACCTGATGCAAATAATTATAAAATGTGCAGGCCTTATAGACAGGAATTTTGCCATTTTTATTCTCATCCCAGTGTGACTTTCCATCTGCTCTAAGTAGTACATTTTATTTTTTTACCTTATTTTTTGTAAGAGAGAGAGAGAGCACATGAGCATGAACTGGGGCGGGAGGAAGGGTAGAGGGAGCGGAAGAAAGAATCTTAAGCAGGCTCCATGCTCAGCGCAGAGCCTGATGCCGGGCTCGATCTCATGACCCTGAGATCATGACCTGAGTGGAAATCAAGAGTCGGATACTCAACTGACTGAGCCACCCAGGCACTCCTAAGTAGTACCTTTTAAAGATGAGGAGTCTGAGACCCAGAGCCATTAGACTTAATCCAAGTCACAATTGGTTAGGGGTAAACCCAAAACCAAAACCCAGGAGCTTTGACATTCAATCCAGAGTTTTCAGTTCATAAACGTTTGCTCTCAATACCTCAGTATTCCACATTCTCTCCCATGGCAGCTTTAATAATATTCCTTCATCCATTCAGTTTTGCAGTAGAGTGAGAGACATGCTAAGACAGTATGAGGATTTATCATGTAGGATCTTATTGCTTAAGGATCAAGAGGGAAGAATGGGGCAAATTAAAGCAAATCCAAGGGGACCTTAAAACCCTAACAGGAAAGGCTGAATATAGTATCATCAGAGATAATGATGATGACAGTGATAATGATGTTGATGATGGCCTTGATAGAAAAGAATAAAGAAGAGGAGGGGTAGGAAGAGAAAGCTAACATTTATTGAGGGTTGTGATTCCAGGGTTTAGTCTGATTCTTTCTGAAGGCACCATGTTTTTTCAAACTTACACTATCAACTCTGTTATCTGTATAGAATTCTTCTATGACTCCCTACTCTCTACCTTGCCCCCATTCTGGATTCTTACCCTGTGACCTTGAATGGGTACATTTTCCTAGACTTATTTATCAGTCTTTCAAAGAGAAGTAAAAAGCATTTATAATGGCACCTACGATGTAACAGGTGCTTTTTTTTTTTCAGAGTTTAATTTAACCTTAATGACGGCTATAGAAAGGCGTCCCTCCCAGAAAGACTTCTGTGCCACCTGGGAGTTTTGGCAACCTTGGTAAAAGTATTCAGCGACAGCTGTATGGCCCTAGGAAGTGAAGCAAAGGAGAAAGAGCAGAGGAGAGAAAAAGAGCTCCAAAAGTTCCCAAAACATTTTTTGATCAAAATCTTTTTTCCCCAAAACATATTTCTTTGTTTCCTATTTTGCCCAAACAATATGATCACTAAATGAAATGACAGTGTTCATAAGCCACAGTTCTTTTGTTTACACTGTAAATTTATCAGCTCTATTTTCCATGAGTGAATCAAGTCACTAATAAAGCTAGAAATGAGATAATGGGGGAAGAAAATAGATAGGACCAGACTATTGGGTACCAAGGCTCCAGTGCTCACTCTAATTCCAACTGCTGGTCTTTTTGAACCTTTTTTATTTGTTATTTGAGGGCAGGAATTGGGTACATTGACAGCATTTCATTATTCAATTGTTATAATCACTAATTGATTAATTAGCTAATTCATTTAATGCCAGACTTGTGGGATATAAAGAGCATTTTTTTAAAGATTTTATTTATTTATTTGACAGAGAGAGAGACAGCGAAAGAGGGAACACAAGCAGGGGGAGTGGGAGAGGGAGAAGCAGGCTTCCCGCTGAGCAGGGAGCCCGATGCGGGGCTCGATCCCAGGACCCTGGGATCATGACCTGAGCCGAAGGCAGACACCTAACAACTGAGCCACCCAGGCGCCCCAGGATACAAAGAGCTTTAAACTTGGAGTCCGATGATAGGGTTGAGCCCTGCAGTAACGAACAAATTATTTAGCTTCTCCACACTCTAGTTTTCTTATCTATAAAGGTAAGGGATTATAGGGTGCTATGGGAAAAAAACCTTTGCATGCTTATTCTATAAAATCTGTAGGGTTGAAGTTTGGGCTATGACTTCAGAATTGCCTCTGAACTGACCACCAAAAGACAAAGTAGATTGTGTCTGTGATTGAGATTCTGACTTGCAGAATGGAGAATTTGGTTATTCTCTTGTGGGAGACCAAGAGATGACCTATGGAGGTCAGATACAGTGGGATTCAACAGAAGAAGAAAGTAAGTGGCATCTGACCTCTGTGAGCCTGGGCAAGGTCCTTCAGTCCCAGACCTCAGGATTCCCAACTCTACGTTGAGGTGGCAGGTCTGAGTCCCATTTCCCCCATGGGACCAAAAGTCTCATACTCTCTGTTTGGTGAACTGCAGTGAAGGATAGCAACTTAATCCAGCCATGCACTCCATAAGGAATGATCTGTGCTGGCTTGGGAACCAGAGAACCTATAAATCAGAGGTGCAAAGACATGAGTATGAATAACAAAACTCACTGAACATTTCCTTCTGCGGGGTGTCTCTCCATGGGTTGTGGGGCACTTACATTCATTCTTATCTTTTTCATGGACCTCGATTTCTAGAATTCATGATTTTACATATAATTGTGCTTGATTCACTTCCTGCCTGTTCTTTCAGGCCATGGGCTGTGTGTCTTTCCTCTTCCTGTCTCTCCACACCTTACATAAAATAGACATGAATTGTCCCTCTGTTGGATGAATTCATTCATTCATTTATAGCAGCAGCAGTGTGGTCCAGGGTGGAGTGAATGAAAGAACATCAGGGTCAGAAGGTCTGGGTCTTGCACTGTGAATTCCTTGCTATATGAGCCTGGAAACCCAAAGTAGCCTCTTAGCCTCAGCATACCAGGCCTGTGTGGCCTACCTCCTGGGTGTCTGTGGTAACTAAATAAACTCACCTCAGTGAAGCTATGGGATACAATGCAAGTAGAGGGGATAAAGATTACAACTACACCAAAAAACTGAGACATAGGACTAAAGCCCGGAAGAACGTATGCAAAATGTCAGACAGTGATTTTGTTAGGATCTTGGGATTATAGGTGATTTTTTTTCATTTCTCCACTTTTCAAATATTCTGAATCATGAAATCCTTTTTTAAAAAATGTAATGTCTTGTTATTATTGGCCAGGTCTTCCTGATTTCCTTGGAAAGTCCTCTCCTGCTTTCCCCTCCAAGGCCAACGCCCCAGCCCAGGCCTTCCACACCCCAGCGCGGTCTCCCTATTCCAGCCCGCAGTCCACCCTGCATCTGAAGCCAGCCCCGGCTTCCCCCACCTCTGCTATCATCACAAAAACCTCCGTTGGTTCCCTTTCTTTTTCTCTCTCCCCTCAGAACCCACTCCTGCACCTGACCTTCGGCTCCATGAAGGGGTGACTACACATTCTTTCCAGCCACTCCCAAAGCATCTTCAAGCTCCAGTTGGCCAATCTTGACACGACTTTAGGGTCACAGCAAAGAGGAGGCTATTGCCAGCAGAAAACATGCGTAGTTTGGCTCACACAGTATTCTTCTAAAGTTTGAGCCAAAGTTTAAAAACGGTGATTTCAGATAAAAACCCAAACTTCAACTTTTTTGTTTTAAAAATAGGAACATCTGGCAACACAGATCCTCCATTCCCTCAAGGCTACAGTGTGGAAACAGTTGACGGGAGCTGAGTAGCAGTTACCCCCTTGGTTGGGGCCTGCGGTCCCACCACTCACAGTAGGGCCTCTACTGGCCCACAAGGCACCTTCAGGAAAAGTAGAGAAAAGCATTTCTTCCTCTGAGCAGAAGCAGCCCCACCCAGAAGGCACAGCTTGGCAAGCCCAGCAAAGGCTGGATGGATTTTGGCCTCTATTCTCCAAATGAGCTGGAATCTCTCATTAATAACCCAGCTGGCATGACCACAGGCACCAGCTCTGTCCCCACAACAAAGGCAGTTAGGTGCCTGGCCTCCATAGCCTCACATATTAAAATGTCCACAGTAATGGCCATCTGGGCTCCAATTTCATTTGTCTGTGGTACTCTCAGCCCTGCCATCTGCTTTGTCTCCACACGGCCTTCCCTCCATCACAAGGTGGCTGCCAGAGCTGAGTGCTGCCTGCCTCTTCATTCACCTGCAGATGGACAGAATGTCATCACATACCCCTCAAGTAAGGGCCCTGAGCTACACTCTGAATGAATCACTTCTCAGCCAACTTACTTTAGCCAGAACAATGGCAGGCACTAACTGGCTCAGGTTTAGGTTCTCTGAACAATTCACTATGGCAAGGCAGTTGGTGACTTATCCCAGTGTTTCTCAATGCAGATATTAACATTTTGGCCAGGACAATTTTTAGCTGTGCCCTAGTAGTGCATCCCCTGCAGTACATTTAGCATATCTGGCACCTCTCGATTAGGTACCAGCCATGTACCCTAGTTGTTGAGGTAACCAAAAATGCCCACACACTAGTTGTATCTAGACATTTGTGCATCTGGAGGTCTGACCAAACTGAATGGGCTTCAACACAATAGGGAAGAGTGGTTCCTTAAAAACAAAGTCTGGCCTTATTAGGAAGATGGGAAAGTAGGAAAAAATTCTGGGAGGGCAATCCACATACATTCACTACACTTTCTTCTAGGTAGGAGGGAAGATAAAAGAGAAGAAAAACTATGGCTGCTAAATTTTTAACCTGTGATTTCTGCCTCAGATGTGCCCCCGGTTACTATGGAAACCCCTTGCTGATTGGAAGCACCTGTAAGAAATGTGACTGCAGTGGAAATTCAGATCCCAACCTGATCTTTGAAGACTGTGATGAGGTCACCGGCCAGTGTAGGAATTGCCTACGCAACACCACGGGATTCAAGTGTGAACGCTGTGCCCCTGGTTACTATGGGGATGCCAGGACAGCCAAGAACTGTGCAGGTACGTCACTGTAGATCGTGGCCAGCACGTACACTGAATCTAGATGGATCGATGTTGGAGAGAAACTGCAAGTGTCCCCTTGTCACTTTTCCAGGGTAATGTGCATTCTTAGGAATGTGTACCCCAAACTCACTAGGGGTAGATGATTTATCAAGGTTACTAGTATAACTTAGCTCATGGGTAGGATAAACCATGAGACAGTCACACAAATGAACTTTCACCTTATCTTATATTCTTCCGATTTTGATCAAAGAAGTAAATCAGAATTCCATGGATTACCTATCATTGACCAGAATTTTGAATGAAAGCTTGCAAGATTTACCTCTGTTTTCTTATTCTGGAAGCTATGTCCCTTTTACCAGTTGTGTTTGGTAAAACTGACTTCTTAGTGAAATAGATTAGCAAGCCAAGGGTACAGTTTAGTCAACCCCCAATGTCCTCAAATTGTCAGGGCAAATATTGCAGGGACAGTATAGGAAATCTTCCTGGTTAAACTTCAGTTAGACTAAAATGTACAAATTTTATTCATGATTTCTCTAATCCATTTGCTGCAGAGAGTGAAGCTCTTTAGAAATAAAGTTAAATCGCCTTCCTCGGGGCAAAGGAAGGTTGGGACTGAATATTTCTTACGCTTTTGTGACTGAGAGGGAACAGGGTGAGGAAGAGGCATTGTATTCTTGGGGCATGCTTCTACTAGAATCCCCTCACTGAAGCAGATTCCCACCTGAAAAGATTGTAAGAAGTAAAGAGTTTAAAGTTGAGAAGAAGGCACATATGAGCTGCAGAAGTCACAATGAAAGTGAACATGTCTACAAGAAAGCCAAGTGCACTGAGGCATAAAACCAGAGGCAAGAGAGGAGTTCCATGTCCAGTCAGGCAGGCATCCGAAAGAGTATTGGCAAAATCAAAGCCTTAGACATTGATGCTCCAATTCTCAAAACATTTACTAAACTTAAGTTAAACTACATAGATGCAGGTCACTCTTAGAAAAGATGCTAATGTTAAAAGCAATAAAGTATGATCTTGCTGAATTGTTTAATAAATCTACATTTTGTGGAACATTACACAGCTGAAATGTAATAAATGTACGTCCCTCATGAAGCTAATTCTTTATGATTATTCTGTAGAAACAATTAAGAGGTGGGGGAGAATTCACAATACTATTCCAGCTCACGGCTGGCATAGATAGCTTAGGAAATCTTTTTTAAATATTACAAATGAATTGCTACTGAGAAACTCAATGGAAAATGAACAGTCTGATGAGATCGGGGTTTCTGTTTTTTTTTCCAAAAGGCATTCTTGAAAATCATCAGTAGATTAATAATGGGCTCTCAGGTCTTCTAAATTCACATAAATATATTCCCGATTCTTTCCCCGACATTATTCCTAGTCATCCCACTGATAGCTATCATTTGGAGGTTGGGAGTCAGCCTTGCCAAGGGTCAAGCACTGTGGGAGCCAAAAATTGCTCTTGAGACTCCTCCCTCCCTCCCGCCGCACTGCTCCTTCCTCACACCTGGCAATGATCAACCCTGGAGTTGGATTAGACTGGAGAATCAGTCTGTGATGAAAGGAGGGCTCTCAGATTCCAGTTGAATGATGGGTTCCGGGATCATTTTGTACTTTGTGAAACTTCCCAGGATCTTTTTGGACTGAAGCAATTGTACAGTCATGTCAGAATCCCAGAAAGTTGGGAGAGGAGTCCTAGAAAATGTAGATTTACTTTTGCCCCAGGGCCGCCTTTGGAAAATCTCCCTGGGCTGGGCTTAATTGGGTGAGGGGCATAATCTCTAGATCACAGACTCTACACCGTCGTAAGGAAGAATATAATTAATCCTCGTTGGAAGAACTATATACTGATAGCCAGTATTTCTAGAAACCAGGAAAACATTGCCATATTTTAAGCATTAAGAAACAAATCCCTAACCTCTTGTTTTTGTTTCCCACAGTGTGCAATTGCGGGGGAGGCCCATGTGACAGCGTAACCGGAGAATGCTTGGAAGAAGGTTTTGAACCCCCTACAGGCATGGACTGCCCAACCATAAGTAAAAATAACAGTACATGATTGACTAACCCCACTTTCTCTAATGTGCTGCAGGTGTAGGATTAAGAAGAGCTATGCAATTCCCTCTCTAGAAACTCCCTAAGTCCCCCTCCTGGCTTTAACTCTGTCTGTGCCTCCACCAAGGGGACCTTAAGCGGAAGCTACTTGACTCTAATTGGTAAAATGGGTGATTTACATTGAAACAACTCTACTTTAGAAAATTTATTTTATGAAGCCTTTAAATTCAGCATCTTACCTTGCAGGTAAAGGCAGAATCAGAAGAGCAATTCCTAGTGACCAAGTTCATTTTAATTCCTCTTTCTATATTATCTCTTCAAATCCTCAGATAATGTGATATACAGACAATGCTTTACAACACTAGGGAAACCAAGACACTAAGCCACTTAAGCAGCTTTTCCCAAATCACTCCAAAACGGAAGTGGCAGCAGAAAGAAAATGTTCAGGCCTTATGGGATGGAGCTATTGTCTTACTTTCCTGGATTTCTCTGCCATTCCTATCAATCAAATCACGAGCAGCCCTGAGGGTGCAGGAGGCTGCTGAAACACTTCACAGCAAATGCCCAGAGCTGATCTTAACAACTTCTCAGGCACCCTTCAAGCCCTTCGTCTAGAAAAGGCTATGGCTGATTCTTAGGATTTAAGGAAAGGTTTGCCTTAGAAAGCCCTTTACTGAGAAAATAACTAATATTTGCCTTTAAGTAGAGTGGTTTAAAGACTATTTTAACTTCAGGTATCCCCTCCCCCAGACGAGAGTATCTTGGTCTCTTGGTGCCTGTGAGCACAGGAGATTAATATTACAGATGATTCACATCTTAGAAAATGGCACATGATGTGAGGCACAAGCAGGGCAAAGTTCACACACTGATCAGCAAGGTCATTTTAAGGACATCTTAATGTCCTTAAAGGATGTGCTGGCTGGGGAGCCATTCCTTTAAGATAGCATGCCCATAAGACCATGTTAAACTTCAAATAACAAATTAACACATTAACAACTATTAACACCTCAGTCTTCATTTATTGGTTCTCTGGAAAAGAGCACAGTCTGAGGAAAAGAGATTGGGAACAGAAAAGTTTCAGAGAGTGGTCAAGACCGGTGTCAAAGCACGGTCTGCTATCCTTCTGAGTATGCCACAAGTGGGCACTGGGCCCCCCAGGAGCAGCCGGGGTGGGGGGGTGAGGGGGAGGACAGAGGTAAGCAGAACTCAAATGTGAAATGCAAGGAGCGGGGAGAAACTACGACCTACTTCACCACATGCCCAGACTGAGCAGATACGCAAAAGCAGTGACATTCTACAGACCCCCTTCTGGCTGAAGTGTTCATCCAGACAGGAGGTCAGGCCATGCAGAGGCACTGAGCCACCCCTGGGATAGGAATAGGAAAGAGGGGGTGCCTACCAAACAGCCAGCTTCACCAGTGGGCACTAAGCAAAAGCCTCACATGAAGAGAGCATCCCAGGGGGCTGTCCCACCACTAAGGAAAAGTGGAGAGCATGCTTCTCCTCCCCAACCCACCTTGCAAATGGCTTGCCCTTTTATGCTTCCCTCCTTTCTCAGTTCAGTGATCTGTTGTGTCCACAACAGCCTACTTGCCCTGTTGCACGCCTTGTTCATTTTGTTATGTTTTAAGTGGGGATAGTGCCCAATGTACGGTTTGAGTCATCTTAGACTGCAGTGTGCTTTGAGTGTAAGGACTGGTTCTATGACCCAGAACAGTTCCTCAGGAAACAAACATAAAAATAATATTAACCAAGGAAGTACACATAATGATCTACTAGAGCACATGCTTCCCGGCTGACTTTCAGTTTTAAAGAAATAACATGTCCGTTTTACCTCCAGGCTGTGATAAGTGCATCTGGGACCTGATTGATGACCTTCGATTAGCAGCCCTCTCGATTGAAGACAGCAAATCTGGTCTGTTGAGTGTCTCATCCGGTGCGGCTGCTCATAGGCACGTGAATGAACTCAACTCCACCATCTTCCTCCTCAAAGTAGGCGGCCATGTTGTACCTTCAGCTGTATCTCAGGCTGGTCTTACAGGACTGCTCCTAGAACTCCTATCCTTTCTATCATCTGAGTCCCACGGCTGTATTACAGATGGATTGTTAGACTAGGAATCAGAAAAAGTTTATTGTAACCATGAGCTTCAGGCCAAAACAAGAGCGGCCATCTATAAAAGAAATTAATGTGGAGAATATAACAACTAAAACAAGCAGTATCTAGGTACCAATCTATTGAGGGAAGGAAAACACTCTTATTTCCTCGGTAAAAATGTGCATTGGTTATTAAGGTCCTTACCACAAACTTACCATTATCTTAACCTCAATTTGCAGTGCTTTGAGGAGTTTCTCTAGAAACCTCTCTCCTGCTCGCTCTCTCTCCCACCCTTACCTTTCCTTCTTACTGACACACAGTCTCTCTCATCTTCCCACACATACACACTGAAGCACACAGACATACATGCTCAGCGTCTCCTCACAGGTCTAGTGGTTAATATCTAATAAACAGTCAAAAACAAACTATAACAGTGCTGCTGTATCTAAACTTTTTTTTTTTTTAAGATTTTATTTATTTGACAGAGAGAGAGACAGCAAGAGAGGGAACACAAGCAAAGGGAGTGGGAGAGGGAGAAGCAGGCTACCCATGGAGCAGGGAGCCCGACTTGGGGCTTGATCCCAGGGCCCTGGGATCATGACCTGAGCCAAAGGCAGACGCTTGACTAAGCCACCCAGGCGCCCCATGCTGTATCTAAACTTTAAGAGGTCTTTTTTTCCCCTCTAAATTATGGGCGTCCGTCACAACCAACAGATATTTTTTAAAACAATAATAATTAACTGAAAGGATAATGGAATTAATACCAGCACAGATTTTTACTTTATCAATTTCGCATAATAGTTAAGAGCACTAACTTTGAAACCAGATCGATTGCATTCAGATCCCAGCTCTGACACTCATGAGTTATGTGACCTGCTCATTCTTCAGTTTTTTCCACTGGCATTGAGGATCATTATTGCACATACCTCATGGGTTGTGGAGAGAATTCAGCAAGCGATATGTATGTAGAGCAGTTGCAACAGTACCTACCATAGAAAGTGCTCATTACTCTACTTTTTAGAGGTGCAAATAAATGATATCCACAGCAATTGGCCAAATACGCAAAATGTAAAGTAAAGCAAGAATCACAAAATCATAGAGCTGGGTGGACTCCTAGTGAGCATTCTCTCCCAAACTTAGGAATCATTCTTATCCACACTCATCTGTTTAGACACATGAAGGCACTACTTCTCAGAGTAGTCACCCAGACTCAGGCCTCTTGATACTGCTTGAACTCTCTTTCCTCAACAGTACAACTTCAAGATAGGTATAATTATAGCTGACAGGAAGTCAGTGTCAGGATTGAAAGGCTTACTCCAAAGTAATCCAGGTAGAGCTACATGAGACCAAACTCCTCAAAAACAGAAAAGAGATGCCAAATGATCTGAAATAAAGAGAATTGCTCTTCTTCTCCAAAAAAAAAAAAAGAAAGAAAGTTAATTTCCAAACTCCATTTTACATTACATTTTACATTACATTGATCTTTGTGGGTTGATCATTTCCTCCAGGTTCTGCCAAATTCGAAATTGAAATTGTAAAGGCCAGACACCCTGGGCGCCCACCAGTCTATAGGGTGCTTTGGTGAAATTAGAAAAATGTGCCCTTTCTATGAGCACAACCCAGTGAGCAGAGCTTGCAGAATTTCAGCCCTGAAGGCCGTTGGAACCCTTGTGCAGACCCCAACCTTCATACCAGCTTACAGCAGCCTTCAGACCCCACGGTTTTGGTAACAGAAGCTCACATTCTACTCTGAGTCCTCTTATACTGAAAGCGTTGTATGTATATATATTTTTAAAGATTTATTTGTTTATTTGAGAGAGAGAGACAGCACACAGGAGGAGGGCAAGAGAGAGAGAGAGTCTTAAGCAGACTCCACACTGAGTGCAGAGCCCGATGCAGGGCTCAATCTCAGGACCCTGAGATCACGACCTGAGCCAAAACCAAGAATCAGACACTTAACCAACTGAACCACCCAGGCTCCCCTGGATGTATAGTTTTTTTTTAAATTTAATTATTTATTGTTATTTTAATCACCATACATTACATCATTAGTTTTTGACGCCGTGTTCCACGATTCATTGTTTGTGTACAACACCCAGTGCTCCATGCAGAACGTGCCCTCCCCAATACCCCCCACCAGGCCAACCCATCCTCCCACCCCCCTCCCCTCTAGAACCCTCAGTTTGTTTTTCAGAGTCCATCATCTCTCATGGTTCATCTCCCCCTCCGAATTCTCCCCCTTCATTCTTACCCTCCTGCTATCTTCTTCTTCTTCTTTTTTTTAACATGTATTATTTGTTTCAGAGGTACAGATCTGTGATTCAACAGTCTTGCACAATTCACAGTGCTCGCCATAGCACATACCCTCCCCAATGACTATCACCCAGCCACCCCATCTCTCCCACCCCCCACCACTCCAGCAACCCTGTTTGTTTCCTGAGATTAAGAATTTCTCATATGAGTGAGGTCATATGATACATGTCTTTCTCTGACTGACTTATTTCACTCAGCATAACACCCTCCAGTTCCATCCACGTCATTACAAATGGCAAGATCTCATTCCTTTTTATGGCTGCATAATGTTCCATTGTATATATATATACCACTTCCTTATCCATTCATCTGTCGATGGACATCTTGGCTCTTTCCACAGTTTGGCTATTGTGGACATTGCTGCTATAAACATCGGGGTGCACATACCCCTTTGGATCCCTACATTTGTATCTTTGGGGTAAATACCCAGTAGTGCAATTGCTGGATTGTATGGTAGCTCTATTTTCAACTTTTTGAGGAACCTCCATACTGTTTTCCAGAGTGGCTGCACCAGCTTGCATTCCCACCAACAGTGGGAATGTAGGAGGGTTCCCCTTTCTCTGCATCCTGCCAACATCTATCATTTCCTGACTTGTTTAATTTTTGCCATTCTGACTGGTGTGCGGTGATAGCTCATTGAGGTATTGATTTGGATTTCCCTGATGCCGAGTGATATTGTGCACTTTTTCATGTGTCTGTTGACCATTTGGATGTCTTCTTTGCAGAGATGTCTGTTCATGTCTTCTGCCCATTTCTTGATTTTTCTTGATTGGATTATTTGTTCTTTGGGTGTTGAGTTTGATAAGTTCTTTATAGATTTTGGATACTAGCCCTTTATCCGATATGTCATTTGCAAATATCTTCTCCCATTCTGTCAGTTGTCTTTTGGTTTTGTTGACTGTTTCTTTTGTTGTGCAAAAGCTTTTTATCTTGATGAAGTCCCAATAGTTCATTTTTCCCCTTGCTTCCCTTGCCTTTGGCAATGTTTCTAGGAAGAAGTTGCTGCGGTGGAGGTCGAAGAGGTTGCTGCCTGTGTTCTCCATTAGGATATCGATGGACTCCTGTCTCACATTTAGGTCTTTCAACCATTTTTTAGTCTATTTTTGTGTGTGGTGTAAGGAAATGGTCCAGTTTCATTCTTCTGCATGTGGCTGTCCAATTTTCCCATTTGTTGACGAGACTGTCTTTTTTCCATTGGACATTCTTTCCTGCTTTGTCGAAGATTAGTTGACCATAGAGTTGAGGGTCGATTTCTGGGCTCTCTATTCTGTT